AAAATAAATTACCAAAAGAAGTTATTCTTAAACTATTTGAGTTGCAAGATCAAATAAATAAAAACAATGTAAATCCAGAGTTTGTTATTAAAGACATTTCAAGAAATTTAAAAGATAAAACAGATATAGAATGTAAATTTTTTGAAACAGCAGAGGATGTACCAGAACCTGAAAATCTCAACTGTATTAAAAATAATTTAATGATATTTGATGATTTACAATTAACAAAACAAAACAAGTGTGAAAAGTACTATATAAGAGGAAGACATAGCAATGTAGATTGTTTCTACTTGGCACAAAATTATTTTGAGTTGCCTAGGAGAACGATAAGAGAAAATGCAAATTTTATATGCTTGTTTAAACAAGATTCTAAAAATGTAAATCATATTTATAATGACCATGTTTCAAATGATATGAAATTAGATGAATTTAAAAAGTTTTGTAATGAAGCTTGGTCAAAAAAGCATGGATTTGTTGTTATAGATTTGTCTTCTGATCTATTAAATGGAAAGTATAGAAGTGGATTAGATTTATTTTATTATCCAACTTCTTTGTGGAAACAATAAATATATATTTTTTAAAAAATATATATTTTTTTATGAAGACTTAAATAATCGAATTTAATAATTGTTTATTCTTAATTGGAGAATTTTCTAATAATAACAGACCTCTACCTACTGATGAATAATCATTTCCATTTCTTAAATAATACCCATTCGAATAATTTTCACTACCATTCCATGGGTTTAAAAATACTCCTTTTCCTACTTTTCTAATTTTAATTCCATAACCATTCTTTTATCCATAAATAATACCATTTCCATAAATAATACCTTTTCCAGCAATTTTATTAACTATAGCATTTCCAGCTGCTCCTGCTGCTCCTGCTAATGCTGCTGTTGCAGCAGTCTTTGCAATTATTGGAGCAGCACTTGCAAGAGTTGCTCCAATTAATGCTAGAAAAGGTAAAAATCCACCACTTTTTTTAACATCATGTTTAAGTTGTGCTCTACTCAGTGAAAGTGTTATACCCTTATTTTTTAAATAGGCTGCTTTCATTCTGTTTATTTGTGACTCTGTTAAAGCTAATTTGTGTTTACCATTTAAATCTTCATATGATAGTTTTATACTAGCATTAGTACCAGATTCAATTGCGTTTTTAATTTTTTCACTCTGACTTGCTGACAGATTAATAAAAGTATCATGGTATATTGTCATTTTTTATATATAAAATAATTTTTTTAAATCGCTTTCTGTAATGCTTTATACTCATCATCATCTATTTGCCCCTGTCGTAACAACTCATCACAAATAGCAACAATCTCATTTCTTGTTCCAGTATTTCCTGCTTGTAAACCAGCTAAGCGTAATTTAAGCATATCAAATAGTGCATTTGGATCACTAGGAAGAATAACAACTCCTTTTCCATACTTTCCAATCATCTCTTCCCAAATAGGTTTTATTACATTAGTGTACTTATAACCTCTAGATGATTTTGGTTTAGCTAAATTTAAATCAGATCGAATTGCATCTGTTTGATTTAAAATTTCTTTATACTTATTACGATCATCGTTAGTATATCTAACAGGATGAGATTTTACTATGATTTCCCAAAGGCCTGGTGTACCAATGTATTTTTTACCTTCAATGGTTATATCATCACCTTCAATAGTTATTGGTTTTTTACCAATGTAAAATTTTTTATCACTTTCATTGTAATGTATACCAAATATATCATCTGATACTTTTTTACTATTTTTAGCAGTATATAACTTTAGATATTCTGCTGCGATAGGTCCTAATCTCATGTTATCTACAACTTCAGGTGGCATGATTGCTTTAGTTTCAGAATCTAGTAAAGCAGGATAATTTGAAAAAGTATTTGCTATTTGATCAGCTTTATTTTCTAATTTAGATATACCTTCTTTTATTCCAGATTGACTATCAATTATTGGTTTGTACAACTTTTCCAAGTTAGTCTGTAAAGCATCATAGCCCAACTTTTCATTTACATCATCTTGATATATACTTTTCTTTAAACTAGCAAGTTCTTTTGCTAGTTTTAATCTTGTATCAATATCTGTAGCTTTTGCATACATTTTTATATATGTAATAATTTTTTTAAATCACAATGTGATCCCTAGATCCCTAAAGGGATTAAAATCAACATATATTATGTTTTTAATACATAATATATGTTCAAATAATACATAATATATGTTCAAATAATACATAATATATGTTCAAATAATACATAATATATGTTTTTTTAATTCTTAAGAGTATTATTCATCACTCCTATATTCTGATTTTTGTTAAATCTCATATTTAGCAATTCCATAGTTTCTTTCATTGCTTTCTCTTTACCTTGATTAATGAGTGACTCTTTAGTCTGTTCATCTATATCATTCTTAGATTTTGTTCTAATTTGTTCAGTCATAGCTTGAAACTTTTCAAGTTCTGAAAGTATCATATTAAATTCTGCATCATCAATATATTGATCTGATGTAGCTTTAGAAATAAGACTACTTATTGTATTTAGTTTTGCATCAGCTAGTACTTTAATCTTTTCATGCTTTTCTGCTTTTATTGTTAATTTTTTAATAGCTTGTGATCCTATTAATGATAATACACCCATACCTAATGCTGCACCTTCACATGCAATAGCTACTGGTGTACCAACTATTGTTGTTAAAAAACCAATACCAACAGCTCCAAGTGTCATAGTGCTTGCTAGTAATGTATTATCAACTGCTGAAATGATTCTTACAGCTCTGTGATATTTTTTACTTAAAATCTCTCTTCTAATTCTTTCACATTCTATTTTATCTTGAATTTCACTAATCTTTTGTAATCTAAAGTTATGATCTATAGATTGTGGTGGTGCAGATGGATTTTCTGAAAACTGGTTAAGATCTGGATAAAGCTGCTTACATTCATTATTATATCCATTATTACATAGCATTTCTTTTTTCTATAAAGAAAAATTTGTTTTAAATCACTTTTGTTATCAATGCTTCGCTAAATCACTTTTTACCAAAATTAAATATATCTTCATCAGATTTATCTATACTAGGTTTATCTTCATCACATATAGCTTCTTTAATTACTTCTCCTATACTTGATAATAAAGATTTTACAGATTCTTTATCACTTTTTGATCTAGATTCTACTTTTTTATCAGGTTCTAAAGCATCTCTATGTGATATATGATTTGTATTAAAAACACCATTATAAGATGAAATACAGCATAACAAATCTCCTTTTTTAATGTTAATATCTTTTTTATCGTTATTATATAAAGTTATTTTAATATCATCAGTAGACTCTATTACAACAGAATTTAGTAAATTTAGTGTTGGTTTATAATTTTCTGCAAGTGAAATCATTACATGTCCTTTATCTATTTTTACTCCACACATTAAAGAAATACTATTATATGAATTTGATTTTACTGTAAAATCTTCTTGTGCAAATACTTTAATATGTCTATCATTTATTGCTCTATGTTCTAAATCTGAATTAATATTAAAAGTTATTGTATATTTTTCATGCTTTTCATAATCTAAAAATATTCTTCTCTTATACATTTTATAAATGTAAAGATTTTTTTTAAATCACTCTGTAATCCTCATATCTATTTTGTTTTTAAAGTTCTTGCAATATAATTTAAAATGCTTTCACCTTGATGTAAAAAATTACACTTTTTATTATCATTAACATTTTTATATAATAATATTTTTTCTCCTTTTTTATTTTTCTTTAATTTACTCTCTACTAATTTACATGGAGTATAATGACAAATTTCTACATTTTCTTCAATTTCTTTAAAAGAATGAGCATATTTGCAATTTATTTTTTTACATTCTTTTTTATCAAGAATATATTTACATAATTTAGTTTTAGCTTTTCTTAATTTTAATAATTCTGACTTTTTTGGATGAAATAAAACACACTCTTTATTCCTACATTTAGGATAATCATTGCAAATATGAATATGCCTATATTGACATGAAGATTTAGTGCATATTAGTCTTTCCTTTACAGTATTACAATAAGGAATATCATGATTGTATTTACATCTATTTTCAAAATGACAATAATTATCTTTTAAAATATTTTTACAGAAAATGGGTAGTTTCTCTACAAAATGAATTGTTGAAGGTTTTCCATCTTCAGTAAAATTAATATCTACATTAAATGGTTTTTCAAAACTAAATTTTCTTTTTTTGTAATGTTTTTTTGTTAAGAAACTATCTATAGCAGGATAATCATCATTAATAACATTATAAGTTGGAACATAATTAATCCATTTCAGCTTATCTTTATGCAGTTCCATGATTTGAACTGTTTTTAAAGGAATTGGAACTATAGGTTTTTCTTTAACTTCATCTTCATCATCAGATGTAAAATAAGTAGCTTCATCAGATGTATAATAAGTGTCATCTTCAGAATCTGATTCTTCAAATTCAAATTTTAATAATTCTTCAAAAAGTTTAAATTCTTTTTGAAATTCAGATATTTCATTAATTTCATCATCATTCATTTTTATTTTTTATTATTTGTAAAAATATTTTAAATCAAAAAAAATTGAAAATGAATTAAATAATTTTCTTTTATATATAAAAAGAATGGAAAACGAAATGCAAAATTCATTTTTAAAATCAATAGATGAAAGATTAAGATTAATTGAAGAAAAATTAAATATTATTAATATTCATGATATTGAAATGACTGAAGATTCTGAAGTTACTACAGTTACTACTACTGAAGTTACTGAAATTACAGAAACTACTGAATATAGTGATGATGAAGAAGATGAAGATAATGAAGATGATGAAGAAGATGAAGATAATGAAGATGATGAAGATAATGATGATATTAAAAAAATATTAGGGTATAAAGGAATAAATGATGCAATTGATAAAGCTGCAGAAAATGGTAACCTTAAACAAGTAAAATACTTGCATGAATTAGGGTATAAAGGAACAAGTTATGCAATGGATAAAGCTGCAGAAAATGGACACTTTGAAGTAGTAAAATATTTACATGAATTAGGGTATAATTGTTACAAACGCACAATTAATTCTACTGTAGAAAATGGACACTTTGAAATGTTAAAATATTTACATGAATTAGGGTATAAAGGTGATAAATATTCGACATTTGATTTAGCTGTTAAAAGTGGACACCTTGAAGTAATTAAATATTTACATGAATTAGGGTATGAAAATAAATATTTAGCATTTAATTTAGCTGTTGAAAGTGGAAATCTTGAAGTAATTAAATATTTACATGAATTTGGATATAAAGGTGATGAATGGGTAACTGATTATGCTGTTAAACATAGAAATATTGAAATTTTTAAATATTTACATGAATTAGGGTATAAATGTACAACATGGACAATTTATTGTGTTGCAAAAAATGGTTACCTTGAAGTAATTAAATATTTACATGAATTAGGATATAAAGGTAAAGAAAATGCAATTTCTGCTGCTGTTGAAAGTGGAAATCTTGAACTTATTAAATATTTACATGAATTTGGATATAAAGGTAATGAATGTGCATTTAATTGTGCAGTAATTAAACAGCTTTTACATGAAAATACGCATAAAGGTGCAGGTAGTAACCTTGAAATTATTAAATATTTACATGAATTAGGGTATAAAGGTTCAGAAAAATACTTTGATAAAGCTGTTCAAAATGGATATATTTAAACTTTTGATACACGTAGTGAATATAAATTCTAGTAGTGATAAAGTTAAGCAATGCTACTACTATGCTTAAGTAAATCCCAACGCATGCGCGTTAAAACAAGAAAAATGATTTAAATAAATTTTCTTGTGTATATAAAAAAGAATGGAATTAGAAAGAAAAAATAAAAATAATGTTATTAAAATATTAAAAGCAATTATTCGCGCTATAGAAAATGGTAACCTCGAACAAGTAAAATATTTGCATAAATTAAAGTATTATTATGAAGAATTAGCAATTAATTATGCTACTGAAAATTATGACTTTGAATTAGAGCAACAATTATATAAATTTAAGTATAAATATGAAAAATGTGCAATTAGTTCTGCTGCTATAAACGGTCACTTTGAAGTAGTAAAATATTTACTTGAAATTGGATATAAAGTTGATAAATTAGCAATTAGTTATGCTGCTATAAATAACCACTTTGAAATATTAAAATATTTACATGAATTAGGGTATGAATGTTATGATTGGACAATTGATTGTGTTGCTAAAAATGGTCACCTTGAAATATTAAAATATTTACATGAATTAGGATATAAAGGTACAGAAGATGCAATAGATAAAGCTGCTCGAAATGGTCACCTTGAAATGTTAAAATATTTACATGAATTAGGGTATAAAGGAACAAAAGATGCAATAGATAAAGCTGCTGAAAATGGTCATCTTGAAATATTAAAATATTTGTATGAATTTGGGTATAAATGTGACAAATGGGTATTTTATTCTGCTGCTATAAACGGTCACTTTGAAATGTTAAAATATTTATATGAATTAGGGTATAAATGTGACAAATGGACAATTTATATTGCAAAAGAAAATGGTCACCTTGAAGTAATTAAATACTTTCATGAATTAGGGTATAAATAAGAAATAAAAAATTGAAAATAAATTTCTTTACATAAATTATAATAAATGGATTTTACAATTAAAGATATTAAATTAGGAAGTTATAAAAGAAGAATAAGTTTAGCTCGTTATTTTCAAAATAAAAATAAATTACAATGGGAAAAGTTAGAGAAGGAAAGATTAGAAGAAGAAAAGTTAAAAACACCAGATCAAATTTATTATTGAAGAAAAGTCACGTGATGTCATGCAAGAATTTTTCGTCATATTTCATAACAAGAAATAAAAATTAACACTTATTTTAAAAAATCAATTTTTTAAAATAAAAAATTATTTCTTATCTAAATAAATTATATACAACATGGTTCAATGTTAACCTCAATATTAATATTAATTTATGGTTGAAAATTTGGTTGAAAATAAAAATGAGCAAATACCGGTAAATCTCTTACTACTGTCCGAATTAGATACTGTGGTGCGTGGAATAAACCTAGCTGTTAAGTGGGACATCAAGAACCTATTGATATTTACCGACTTGGTTCATGGATGGTTGAAAAGTGTGCTGACTGAAAGTCATAGGGTTCGGTCAAATGGACTATCAAAAATGCTTATCAAACGAAGACTTTCATTATTGCGTGATTTAATAAAGAAATACAGTACGAACATCATAATGAAGTGGGTTCCGTCTTCTAAAAACAAAGCAGATGTATTAACAAGAGTTTCAAAAAAGTGGTTAAATGAAATTTCACGAAAAATAAAACTTTTGAGAATACTTTTACTATATATTTTTCTGATTTTTTAGTTTTTATAAAATTTCCATTTTAAATTTATTTTTAATTATGTATATCTAATTTTAAAGTAATTTAGGTGGTTTCAGATCAAGTGACTCTTATTTTTATTTCTTCTTTTTTTGAGTATAATTCTCTTTTGATTTATGGTGTAGACATAAACTTGTGTACAAAAACATATTTTTAAAAAAAATTTAATTTTGTAAAAATGATCAATTTCTGAGACCATGTTTTTTTGTATATTTTATTTTCATCTTAGGTTGTATGATTCTGGAATCCCTAATCAGCATTTAATGCTAATCTCAGTGAATAGTTAACCATAAAAATAAAGTTTTTAATATATGAATATATATAATACTTATTTAACAGATCATTATGTACATCGAATAGTTCAACAACATATTCTAAAAGTAACTAAAGCAGTTTTTAAAAGCCATTAAAACTAGAACTACTTTTTACCTTACAACGGGTCTTTTTAACCTTACTATGGGTCTATATATATTAAATTTATATATATTTTTAAAAAGATATTTTCTTGGTATTAACATATTTCTTATCGTTTTACAAGTTTATTATATGGTTTCTACAAGTAAATGGGAAATGGTCTATTTAGCAGCTCATTAAAAAAAGAAGGTATATATTTTTTTTAGTTTTTTTTTTATTTGTTTACTTATTTTAATGATTTTAACTTCAAACTTTAAATCATAAATCGACAAATGATATAACGGCGAAATACTAAAATTCAGTAAATAGTAAAGATTGTTAACACAAATATATTCAGGAACAGGGGTGGACAAGGCTGGTTGCTTTTCTTTTTATTCTTTGAGCTTTGCAGTTCTAACAACACATTTCTTTCTAAATAATAAAGTGTAGTCTTGCAGAGTATGACTTAAGGTAACATTTTAAGTGACATTTGGTGTAATTAAAAATTGCTTGAAGCACTTCCAGGGCCTCAAAAAAAAAAAAATCTCTTTTATACTCCATTCTGGTGTAATTTGGTTCAGTTTATAATGTTATCACTATAATTCTCTAAAATGATTTATACTGTATTACTAAGTTGAAATGTTTAAAGAAATTATATTTTATTTACTTTTGCAAACAATTTAAAGCCATAAATTTGATAAAATTTTAATAAAAACGTTATGATTAATTAAAAGTTATTTACTCTGTTTATATGATGTTTAGGTTTATGGCCGGCAGTCATCGAAACTTACTGTACAATTAGCAATTAAATCTTTGCTACAAGAATTTCAAGAAATTCTGAAAAACATTGTAAATGCCGTGATTATCGTATAAGGTTGTGCTTTACGTAGCATTCAATAATATTATGTTATTTCACACTGATGTGAAGGGGTTGTCTAGAGGCAAAGTTTTAAAACATGTTTTTTTTATTTTCGTGATAATTTGAAAACATTTTTAAATCAAAAGTCTAAACCACACATTTAAGCACTTTTTGACAAAAGTAACTATTTTCACAAAATTCCTTATTTTGTTGACTTCTTTGCAAATCTGAACAAGTTGAATTTATAGCCAATAATATATATTTTTCACGTGCATCTTAATAAAGTTTTTTATTTTAATAACTTTGTTTGACAAAGTTAAAATAAAAGTTTTTTACTAATGAAAAACAAAAGAGGTTTAGTGTTATTAATAATTTAACTGCCCACCAGCAATTTCTGGAAATTTATCACTTCAAGCTGGAGTAATTATCTTATAAAATAATAGGAATTTTAGCGAAAAAAGTAACTTTTAAAGTTGAGTAGAAGCTTTCTTATTTTAAAAATAAGCATTAAAATTCCAACTTAAATAATTTCTTATAAGTTGCCATTTTTATTGGATATATCGGGGTGTTCACTCTGCTGGATAAACTGAAAGAACTAGAAAGGACTGTTTTGAAAGGCATACTAAAAAAACTGAAAAATATATTTTTTGTGCATAATTGATTCAATGATTATAAAAAACACATTTTCCATTTATTTAATTGTGTTTTTTAAAAATAGTTTTATACATTTTTTCAAGTTTGTTTTGAGTTGACACCATGTTTATTATGACATCCGGCCTTCAAAAAATGTAAACAAACCAAAAAGTAGAGTATCAAATTGTAGATTGAACCTTGCAAAAGCGTTTTTCTGTTATTTTTAAGGAGTTATAAAATCTTTAATATATATTAACTATATTAACAAACTTAATTTATTACAATAATAAAAAAATGCCTCCTGTAAAAAGAGCTAGACGGTGTAATTTATATGGTGGTAGCCCTTCTGATCTTCCTATTACAGATCTACCAACTTATGGTGATGTAGCAAGATTTTTCTACAAATTAAAAGATTTAGATGGTATTAAAGACAAAAATGTTATTATTCAAAGAACGCTTTGTAGTTTAAAAGAAATATGGTTCCATTGCCGGATCAAGGGAGGCTAAGAGGACTATAGCCCCAGACCCTGCTGTTTTAGGGGCCCCAAAAAATTTTAGAGGACCTTCCCTTTTTTTTATGTCATTTTTAGGCTCTGCTCCATAAAAAGGCCTCCAAAAACAAAAATAGCCCCGGGCCCCAAGAAGTTTTCATCCGCCTCTGTATGATTCAATTGCAATTCCAAATTATTTTTCTTACCTGAAATAAGTTTGATTGTTAAACTTTTAAGATTTTATGATAATGTTATTTCTTGGAATAGAATTAAAATTAAACCTTTGACCAAAAAATTGTTTGAAAAAAATAAAGAAAAAACTTTTTGATCTGATAGCATGTAACTGCAAGCTTGAAGTTTTTCCTTGTGATGACAGGAATATCAAATGCTCAGGTTGTTCAAATGTGCATCTTTACTGTAGTTGTGTTGGTAGTACAAAAGTAAGTTAAACAAATTTAAAGTAATTTTTTTTAAATTAAACTTTAAATAACTTATTTAATTTTTAGTGATAAACTTTTTTATATTTTATTATTATTTTTTATATTTTTAGATAATAATACGTTTTACACAAATTAATTGAAAGTAATATTTAAAACCAGAAATATTTATTTAGGTTCCTTTGGAAGAGCGCTCCTATTTAAAAGACCAAAGGGAGAAAATTGGTACTAAAGAAAAGTTTCAAATAGGAGGTATTGATAACTCTATTTTATCACCTACCTCAAGAAAAACAATGCAAACAAAAGCTTCTGATGAAGAAATTTATATTAAAGAGTTTGACACAATCATGGATTCAGATCAGGTAATAAATTTTGACCTGTAAACTTTGATTGTATGATAAAAACTATATAAGTTCTTAAATTTCTTAATTCTTTTAAATATAATGCTCTAAGTTAATTAGAGCATCTTAAATGTTAATACAATTAAATGTAAAACTTTAATTGTTATGATTTTTAATTTCTGGAAGTTTTGTTGTATTTTTTTCTATAATTACAGTGTGAAACTTCAATTTCATCATTAAATCAGACTAGATCAAAGTACTATAACACTACCCACTATCTCAAATTTGCTTTAGAGATAATTAGATATGAAACATCAGATAAAGCAGCTGCCCCTGTAGCTAATGCTCTACTTCAAGATATTGGTTATCTACCTCTTAATGATGCAATTGACCCAAGTAAAATGAAGAAAGAGAAAGAGCGAGTATGCTTTAATGCTAGTTTTGAGCAATCTAAAGTTTCAAATACAAAGACAATTGGTTTGGATTGCAAAAGCATTTATTCGGCGGATTTTGATGTTGGATACTGAAGTTCAAAATTACATTGGCCATAATTTATAGAAACTCTTTTTGTCTCCAACCTGAAAATTTTATTGCTGCTCTACTTTATTCTGAAGAACAGGTTTATAGAACAATTGGTGTTGTTCAGATTATGGAAACAAGAAAAACCCTAATTAAGGATCCTAAAAATGGATTAAAAGATAGTATTAGGGTTAACGCCATTCCAGTTATTAATTGTAGATGTAAAATGAGGGGTCATTTGGCCTTTGAAGTTATGCGGATCAAACGTTATTGAATTTTTTTACAAAAGGTGTAAGGCTTTCACATTTAGTGAAAAGCGTTTACTTATAAACCATTCATTTACTTTAGATAATTCTTCATTAAAAATATTAAAAAGAGTTTTTTATATCTGTGTGTGAATAAAACAAATTGGAATCGTCAGCAAACAATATAAGATAAATTTTTTAGATTAGGTTATGCATTGTTTTCTGTTAGTCAAGTAGTTTTTAAACCAAAGTAAGTTTAAGTTGTTTACTCCATAAAGTTCTAATTTTTTTATAAGGATTTCATGATTGACAGTGTCAAATGCTTCGGATAAATTAATGAAAACTCCTAAGGTAAAATAATCTTTATCAATAGCATCCGATATATGGTTTACAAGCTCAATTACCGCGTGATCCGAATGATTTTTTTTAAACTCAATTTGTTTGTTGAACAGAATATTATTTGATACTAAATGATTATAAAGCCTATTATATAAATCGTACATAATGCGTTCTAGCAATTTAGAGAAACAAAGTAATACAGAAATAGGTCTGTAGTGTCCGGTTTTAAGTCAGGTGAAAAAAAAAACGTTTGAAACATTTATTTTTTCACCTGACTTAAAAACCGGTGTGATTTTGGCTATTTTAAGTTTGTCTGGTACAATACCAGACGTTAATGAGAGATTAAAAATGTGAAACAATAAGGGTTCAATAATATCAAAGACTGATTTAACTACATTAACGCTAATTTTATCTATGCCTGCACTTTTGTTATTTTTCAAAGAGGAAAAGCATTATGCAACTCACTTATATTTAAATTTAGTTCTGTCATAATATTATTTGCTGTTTTGAGGCAAGTTTCAAATTTTATGGTACTAGATGGAATTTTAGCCGCCAGATTTGGACCGATCTCAAGAAAAAAACTATTTAGCTTGTCAGCTATGGTTTCTTTATCATAAACAACTTTTTCATCAATTAACAGCTTTTGTGGAAAATTATTATTATTATTATTTTCTATTAAACACCCAGTAATAAAATTACAGGTAAATTAATTTATATTAAAACCGTTACAAATTAAATTAAGGCCAGTCTCGGCTCTCCAAATATTTGTCTTTATATTTTGGCGAAGTATCTCATAAATATTCAACAAAGTTTTCAGAGGATAACTTTATTGTTCCGAGAATTAATCTAAAAATAAGTTCTTATCGAATTCAATATCGAGGACCTTTTTTATGGAAAAATTTTATTAAAAACTATAATAAAGAAAACTACTCTTTAGAAAAATTTAAAACAGTTTCTAAAAGAATCTTACTTCAATTAGATTTTAATTCAATAAACTTTAAATATTTTTTTTAATAGGTAACTTTAAAATAGAAAAAACGCTTCCATTAGCACTAAATATATTTTGTTATATGTATCAAATATATTTGTATTAGTATACAAAACTTTTTTTATTTTTAAATTTTCAATATAATTGCCATTTTATTATTTGAAAAAATTTATGTATTTTTTAACGTTTTTTTGTATATTTTATTCAAAATTGTTTATAAACACGGAAAAATTGTAAACGGGGCTCGGTGGTAAGACAGTCATTGTCTTCTTCTTGCTCCGGCCAATTTTTATAAATGTAATATGTCTTTATTGTAAATATATGAAACGGCACAAAAATATATATATATATATATATATATATATATATATATATATATATATATATATATATATATATATATATATATATATATATATATATATATATATATATATATATATATATATATATATATATATATATTTCATAATTTCCAACTGTTATTACATTTGACTTAAAATTTTTGATAGGGATGCAAAAATATTAGAAAAATAAATACCATAATTTTTTTTACATTTATCGGGATTGTATAGAATTATTAATTTTACAGACTGAAGTGTTATTTTCTTATTTAGCTAATCTTGAGGAATAAAATTTCGAGTTATATTATAAAAACTCGATGCAAAGATGCATAAAGAATCACCGAATCCAATTAATTCGTCTGTTTATAACTATTGCCTAATTTACAGACCGATTAGTACATTACTGCGTAAGGGCATTGAAATCTATCTGAATCATTCAGAAATACCTATTTAACATACAGAAGATAATAAATAAGTTTATAATTTAAATTTAAAAGAAAATATTTACATCAATAGAGCTTCCTGAAAGTTTTAGTACTTACATCAGCATTAGCAGGTGTAACAGCAGAAACTCTACCTAAAAATATTTAAAAAAATTATTATTAAAAACACAGATGCAAAATAATTTTTAAAATGTATTTGTTATTTCGTTTTAAAATTAAAAACAAAAACAAAAACTATAAAATAACAATTAAAACTAAAATTAAAGGTAAAAAAATAAACAAAAACAACATTAAAACAAAAAATGTTGCTATTCTACAACTTATCTTTTAGTTTTTAGTAAATGATTAGAAATAGCAAGTTTCATTAACGAACAACCTAATAATTATTTTTAACGATAGATACCGAGAAGGTAAGCCAAGTTGTCTATCAACACAAAACATCACAACAACAACATCACAAAACATACAGACCGTGTGGCACTAAACGCTGCAAATTCACACTACACACTCGCGTGTGGAGTTTTTCTCCAAACAAGCGTGCAGCTGGTTTGGAGAAAAACTCTACACGCGAGTTTATCACTCCTAGACACATGTGGAGGTATTTTGTACCGTTTTTTGCAAATAACTACACATTTCTGTACAGAAGTCGAGTTAGAAAAAATTAGTTTCCACAAAAGTGTGTGAAATAACTCCACACTTGTGTCTAAGAGTGATAGCTACACACCGAATATTGCAGCCCCCTCAAACTAAGGGGAGTTGAAACTTTTCATGGTCATAATTTTTAAATGCTAAAAGAATATTGCGTGAACTTTAAAATTTATTGATGAATAAAGATTTAGTTAAGAATAGTATAAAAATTATTTTATTAATTTGTAGCTCTTACGTTTGGGACAGGTGTAGCTAAAATTTTAGAGCTTTTTTGTTCCCAGGCATTAATCGTTGTAAATTTTTGCAAAGCAGAATGAAGATAAGTGTGGCCCAATTGTGGAACACATAATGCAGTTCACATAACTATTCCACTTAATACATGTATACTTATTTTAGGTGACGCATTACTATACATTTTATTTGCGGTTGCGGAAATTTTAAAATATAACATTGCTTAAGTATAACTATAAATTTTTATAAAACTTGTATAAATTTGTATAAAACAAGCCTTAAGGCTTGTTTTAAGGCTTTGTATTCTTAAAACTGTTAATCAGTTTTCTAGCTAGATTTATATCCTGAAAACCTTTTTTCTTCCACCACCAGATTTGCGTTTGATCAATTTTATTTGGGAAAAACGTTAAATAAAATGATAAAAACGGTATAGGAATGAACATGCTACTTTTTTACTTATTTAAGTATAAAAGGAAAAATAAAATATTTTCGATGCAGCAACATGTTGTAAACATGTTTTAAATGTAGGGGAAAAGCGCCTATGATGGCATACTTAACCTTGAAGCTTAATTATTCAGTATGCTGAAGATCAAGAATAAAAGTTTTGATATGCATACATTCTTTGTTAAATGTAGAACAATAATAACCCTAGCAGCTTTTATCAGCTTTAGTCTTTATTAGTTATTTTTATTTTAAAAAAAAGCACAAGTATGCCATTATAGGCAACTACTGCTCCTATGATGGTATAGGGGAGGATGGGGCTGGTTAGCATCAAGGGTAACTTAAAAAATTTCATTTGACCGTAGAGTCTTCCCTCAGAAATGCCAGAAAATACTCGTAATTATCCTAATTAACCCTTTCATGCTACTGAGCAGCAGTGTAGGATTTCACGCATGCGCATAAGATATATCGCGTTTTATATGTTTTTTGAACCAAAAATGTTGTAGTGAAGTAAAAATTTCTTGTTACTTTGCTAACAAATATGTTGTTTTTATGAAGAAAACAAAAGGTTTTCTTAACTCGTCAATATTACAACACACCTAACTCGTCAGTATGCTATCATAGGATAAAGTCATCATTTTTATTTAATCAAGCTATGTCTGCCTTGTTCAAAAGATAAAATTTAAATAAGTATTCCACTAAATGCACAAAACTTGGAAATAAAATGCACGAAAATTTCGTTTCTGCGCAGTTAATAATAAAATTACAAGATAAAATATTTTAAGGGGTACAACAGCACATCCTAAAATCTTTGTTGATTACAAAAGCAATATTTGACGTATTTTTACTCAAACTAATGTAAAATCAGTATAGACATGTTAGTCTAATCACTTTTTCGTCATAACCAATATTTATGAAAATATAATCGGTATGCCATCATAGACGCTATGCCATCATAGGCGCCTTTCCCTTAACTTGATAAGTTAAATCTTATATTTATTATGAGTTATTACTATTTTTGAATTATGGTATTCTTTTAAAACGGTGATTAATATAAAATTGTTTAGAAGTTACTGTTTTCAAACGCAAATCGTAACA